GGGAGAGAGATTCACAGATAATAAAGGCGCTGATCAGGATAAAATGTATTTGTCTTTGAACAATAGTGATATTGAAAAAGAGCCATTTGAAGCAGTTATTTTTCAAAATGAAATAAAAAATTAGAGTTTAAAACACAACTGCACAAGGCAATGTACCAATGATTTATTGACAATTTTAAATCGTCATGGGCACCAGGAAATGCCAAAAGATGCAAGCACACTTTTGCGTACAAGAAGAGTTGTAAAAACAGCACTTTTAAAATATGGAAATTACATTTATGATGGCATAAAACGAGGTATTAAAAATATATTGCAAGTTCAAGACTTTAACTCCACTAAAATTAATCTTATATGTAATGTAGATGGTCTACCGCTCTTTGAATCCAGTGCCTACCAAGTTTGGCCTATACTTTGTCAATTTGGATATTTCAAACCGTTTGTGTTGGATTGTATGGCGGTGAAATAAAGCCATGTGTTTCTGAATTATAAGCAGATTTTGCATATAGAGGTAAAAACTTTCAAACAGCCAGAAGAAACATTTGGTAAAATTTTCAATATTTCTTTGTTAGCAATAACATGTGATGCTCCTGCTAGGGTACTCTTAAAAGGCACAGTTGAACATTCTGGATACTATGCATGTGAGAAATGCAATTTGCGTGGTTTTTATGTTCATGGTCGTATTATTTATGATAAATGTCATGAAACAGTTACAAAAAGAAACAATGCTGATTTAAAAGCCGAATTATACTCTCAACAAGATAAAGATGGTTGGTGCCATCATCATACACGAACTCCACTGTTTTACATTGAAGATTTAGACATGATTCAGGATTTTGCTCTTGACTATATGCACTTAGTTAATTTAGGTATTATGAGACGTATGTTATACTACTACAAAGGTGCATATGCCCACATATTTAATGGTCGTTTATCAACACCTTATTTGAAAAAAATTTCTCGTTTACTCATTAATTTAAATGGGACATTGCCATCAGATTTTGTGCGTCAAAAAAGATCTTTAGAAGATGTCAATATATGGGAAGCCACAGAACTAAGAACATACTTACTATATGCGGAGATCGTTGTTTTAAAGGATATTCATATTCCTAAGATGTATAAACATTTTCTCAGCTTATCTTTAGCAATCCGCATGTTGTGTGAGGAGAATAATAATGTTAGGAGAACTTATTTGAGCCATGCAAAAAAACTCTTGGAGTATTTTGTGTCAAACGCTCATAAACATTTTGGTGACACATTTTGTGTCTACAGTGTTTACTGTCTTCTGCATATAACAGATGATGTTGAACATTTTGAAAGTAGTTTGGACGAGATTTCTTGCTTCCAGTTTGAGAAGTTTTTGCAACATTTAAAAAGATTAGTACGAGGTAAACAAAACCCTTTAGTAGAACTTGTAAAACTCCTAAGCGAACATAAATCAGATGATCCACGTAAAGCGAAAATAATAACTATGATGTTTCCAAGAATGCTTGTTTCATGACAAAATATTTTGTTGTTTTTACTAAAAATTTTTTACCAAATGATCAATTAGTTTATGACATCTATAAAAAGAATCATTCAAACAATTTCTTTGACAGCTTTGTAGAATCTAAGATACTTAATATATACTATATCAAAAACCATTGCCTATTTTAATTATACGGCCGGATATTTTACATTTTGAAGAAAAAAATAGAAGGCCAGTTTTCTGAAAAAGTGTTTTTAAGAAAGCAGCTTTGGAAGTTTAAAAAGATGGTTAACAAATGTTGCGTCGTAAATTGTCGTTCAAATTATCATAATTATGGTGAAGTATCTACAGTAGTATTTTCGTTTCCAAAAAATGAAGAGTTAAAAAAATATTGGATTAAATTTGTAAATAGAAAAGATTGAACACCTACTAATTCTTCCGTAATATGTATAAAACATTTTGAAAAAAAATATTATAAGAAAGGTAATAAGAATCAACTTTTAGATTAATAAAAAATTTAAAAACAAATTTGACTGAAGAAGGTTCATTACAACTTATAAAATCTTCTAATTCATTAAGGAAATCACCAACTAAAAGAATATTTCAGCCAGATCAATATGAACAGTTTTTATTGAATGATTTGATTAATAGCTTTAACGATATTACTGAAAGTTTTGCTCCAGATGGTTTTTCATTCTTGAAGTATGATGATCATGTAATTTTTTATAAATTGAGTCATAGTACTTTATCTATTCCAGAGGTTACAGAGTGCATTCGTGTAAACAATGAGATGCATGTTAAATTATTTTACAGAGGTTCACCTCTGCCATTACCTCAGTGGTTTTGTCAAGGAAGAGATTGTCGTTTATCTTGTAAAAGTATGCTTCATAATTTTTCTACCTACATTAAATCACAAGCCGAACAATTTTCATCTGTATTGACTGAATTACAGCAAATTAAATATATGAAAAAACCTATTTATTCAGCCAATATTATAAGGTATTCACTGATATTACGATATACTTCTATGCAGTCATACCAACTTTTGCGTGACGAATTGCCTTTACCATCATTATCATTACTTAAAAAAATATTTAGTGGAAATATTGATGCTCTAAGTTGTGCAAAACGTTTAAAATTAGAAGGTAAGATATTTCAAGACATTTGCTTGATTTTTGATAAAATGTACTTGCAAAAATGTGAGGAGTATTTTGCTGGAGAGATGATTGGTAGTGATGAGTCTGAAGAAATGTATAAGGGAATAGTTTGTTTTATGATAGTTGGCCTGAAACAAAACATTCCATATGTGATCAAAACGTCTCCTGAAAAAACAATCAATGCTGAATGGTTGAAAGAAGAAATTTTTGAATGTCTTCGTATTTTAACTGAATGTGAATTTAATGTTAGAGTTATTGTGTGTGACAACCATTCTGCTAATGTTTCTTGTTTTAAAAAAATCCTTTGTGCATCGAATCAACAAGCTGAAGATTTGTTTTTTATTTACAATCTAAAAAAAATTTACCTGTGTTTTGATGTTGTACATCAAATTAAAAACATCAGAAATAGTTTGTTAAATTGCAAAAGATTATTATTTCCAGATTTTAACTTTAATGGATTTAAAGATCCTATAATTGTATGTGGGGGAGAAATTAAATGGAGTACCTTCCACAATATTTATGAAAAAGACCTCACTCTTGATGCTGGTTTGCGTAAAGCACCAAAAATAACAATGAAAGTGTTACATCCTGGCAATTTTAAACAAAATGTTTCTTTAGCACTTGCAATTTTTGATGAAACTACATCAGCAGCGATTCACTCATATTTTCCAGATCTTAAAAGTAGTGCAGATTTTCTTACATTATTTAACAAGTGGTGGGTTTTATCAAATTCTAAATGTCAGTATTCAGCATGAAATATTTTAGGTAATGCAGTCGTTTCTGGTGATAAAAAACCTGAATTTCTTTTGGAAATGGCACATTGGATTGAAGTTTGGCAATCACAAAAGATACCAAACTGTGAGGAGTTTACTTTAAGTGTTCAGACAGCTGCAGCACTAATAAGAACACTTAATAGTCATGCCTCATTGATCGAGGACTTGCTTACTGATGGATATCACTTTGTTTTAACTGCAAGATTTCAAAGTGACCCATTAGAAAGGAGATTTGAAAAATATAGAAATAAAATATAGCGGTGGAAGATTTTTGGTAGGTTTAAAAGATGCCACTATTTCTGAAAAAATATTAAAAATCAAAAGTATAGTTAAAGAAAGTATTAACTTCGATGATAGTTTAAAAGTGCTTGAGTCAGAAAATAATTTAACAGATTGGAAAAACTTTCTTCTTGATATTGATGAAGCTCGGTGTACTCCAGAAATCATGACACTTGCACCAGAAAGTAGGGAAGTAGGTGCTCATATTGCTGGTTATATAGCAAAGAAACTTTAAAAACGTTTTGGTACATGTTGTAAAGAATTTTTATGTTGTGTCAATATTGATGAAAGCAATCCTGATCATACTTATTTAACAATTATTTCTAGGGATGGTCTCACTATTCCCTCACCATCATTTTTGGATTATGTTTGCACATCCTTTGCTATGATTGACTACTTTTATAAAAAAAAAAAGAAATTTAGTTAACATGCACGACAAGCTTTAGAATATTTGTTAAACCACTTTTATGACTCTTTTCAGACTTTTTCTTGTCTCATGCATGAGAAAACTGGGATAAAACTTGTTAGAAGAATTGTTGTTAACATTTTTCTTAATAATAAAAGAATTATCTCTACCAGTGAAGGAGCTGTTGATCATGTTA